CTTAGTACATAGGGTGAACCCTACCATGGATGAGTCCTTAATCGTACGGGCTGAGAAATCCCATATCGGACGGGGTTGGGAATAAATTTAATTACACTCATACCGGACAGGGTATTGAGACAGTCTATAATTGTGGTGCCCATTAGCGGACGAGATATGGGGATGATCGATGAACTGTAAAAGAAATATTTGTACATCAACGTGTAACGGGGATCATTATGGGCCCCCAGTGATACCGGTAAGGAAAATGATAATATGTAATGGAAATAGAGATGATTTGGATACGTATCTGGTTGGTTGATGGTATTTGTGAACGAAACGAAATTATTTGAATATAAATCCAATACAATATGATGATATTTATAAATGAGAATAATATGTACAGTACCTATATATAAATATGTTGGAATTGGTAATGAAAAAGATATGGTTCTTGATTATTTCTTTTTTTATACTTGTGATAATGATGATGAGTAAGGTTGTCTTGCAAATTGGATTTTTATGAATATGAAATTTTCATTGGTTTTATCAAGTCTGTACGAATATGTATTTGCATATCTCTGCTTTGAACGTTACTTTATTCTTACTGAGTAGGTAAAGCTCACTCCAATTCACACCTCCCTCCCAGTGCAAATTAATTTAAGTCAGGAGGGAGTTCAAGATCAAAGGAAGACTTCAAAGAATCCTTTAACTACCTTGGATGCTTATTGTAAAGTAGATCTGAATGTATTATTATTATGAAATTTCGAAAGATTGTTATGAGCCTCATGAATTATGATTCCGTATAAGGGATATATTATTGATTTATAAAGATCAACATAATATTGCATAAAAATTTATCAGGTTCACATATGAGGTGACGCACTTTTCTCTCTAGAGAATTCGAGTCGTTACACATTTCATATTTGCAAAAAAAAATGAGGGGTAGATCGAGGCAAGTTTGGGTTTAGACTAAAGCCAATTCGAACCTAACCCAATATATATATATATATATATATTAATTTTTTATTGATATAATTATATTTATATTAATAGATAAAAAATTAACTATGTTGTTTTTACTTTACAACATTTAATTTCTATGTTTTGATATTTATTGTTTTGGGTGTGTTATATAGTTTTCTTTGAAATCTTATCTTGTCAAAGGACTTATTTAAAAAGCCCACTTACCTACGCCCATGGGTAGTGAAATAATGAGTTGTTTGATCAAAATTGAAGGCATGTGTGCCATGTGTATATGTGTGTATATCGGCAAATTAGGTTTTATTTTAGCATTGATTGTGTGTATAAGGGATGTATGTGTACCATACTTTTAGTGGAGGTATAAATATCTAACAGTGACTTTCGAACTCTCGAGAATCATTTTGAAAAAAAGAACCATATTCGGGTTTCTC